CGAATTAGATGCTTGAAGGGATCTTTCCCTAGGAAGCACATCCTGAGAACGGTCTGTACTCAAACCGTGTTCTGAACCAGCTGACCAGTCCCAGTGTGATCTCTGATGAATATCATATATTGCTGCAGAGGCATTTGCAGAAGGTTTTTGGGGCTCCGAAGTGTGGCTCACATCCGAAAGAAAACCATTGTTGTTGGGGTGGATACCATCATTTCTTAGTCCAAGTTCTCGGGGAGTGTCAAGTCCAGAGCTGCCATCAGAACTTGATATTGTAATGTCAGATCCACTAGATGTCCTACAATCAGCACTCAACTCAGCTCCATTGGTGTTTGCTTTGGCAGACACATCCTGTGAAAACGTAGAAAGAGGAAATTAAATAATTTCCACATAATTTTAACTGCCAAAATTGAAGCAAAGAAAACATGTAACCTTTACACTTAGAAAGTACATGACTGTTTAACTTATATATTGAGGAAATTTTCAATTATGAAACATTATAGTAAAATATACAGACCTATGCCACACCGATCTTCAAAGAAAAAATGTTAAGATAAGAATTTTTTTATTGCTATTATTTTGTAGACTGGGATATGTAAACCAGCCAAATTGATTCCTAGGCTCCTAGCCCCAATGAGTGATCCCTTACCTCAGAAGAATCACTTTTAGAGCCTGCATCTATCTCTCCATTGCTTAAGTAGGTCCTCAAACTTCTATCATTTGGTTTTAGTTTGGTATCTTCACAATCCTCGTCCTCTCTGCAAATGTCATTTGACAAAAAGAAACCCCGTCATAAAAAAGCATTTGAGTTTGAGGCAAACTCTGTGACTTGCAAAGTATAGATAGCCATAGTAATCCCCCCATACCTCTTATCATTATTTTCTTGTAGTCTCTGGACTGATACCTGTCCATAGAGCAACAAATCAGAATCACTGAAATCAGCATTGCAGTAAATTGAGTTCTACTCAATTTTTTTAAGGGAGAGACCAAATACTAACATGCAACACAGCATCACAATGAGAATTCTTGATGGGAAGAGAGACAGTAGAGGGCTTTGTAGCCTCAGCATACTCAGCAAAGTCTATAGAAACTTGCCCAAAGAAGCTGGCTTTTGATAACCCCTGCACAGAAACTAGATCACAATCTGGCATACTCTATAACCAACCACAAACAGAAAATTTTCAAACTCCATACCGTGGAAACCACAAAATGATACACTCTCTCACTGAATTTCCCAGTCTTAGGCTCCTGAACAAACTTGATTGTTTCATAGACAGGATTCTCCCATCTACAAACTCCATCACGAACTGCAGCTTTCTCTAGCCTCGTAGTTACCTTTCCAATGTCCCCTGGAACTATGGACAGCACCAAAGCATCCACCCCAGATTGCACTATCTGAAAATCAAACCAACCATAAAGTAAAAATCTCTCGTTTCACCATCTCAATTCACAACCCAGTTGCTGCATTGCACCCCCCATCATCAAAATCAAACACAACCAAGGCAACAGAGTTATACCCTTTTCAAACTTAAACTAAATTATAATAAATAAAAAAATAATAATTTCCCACAAATATCCTTCTTCTGAGACATGGAATTATACAGTGTCGGATCCAAATGTGGACACTCTCTCAGCAAGACTCAAACTTGGGGTCAATGTGGAAAATTTAATGAACAATGAATTTCATGGTGAAGTGAAGCAAAGCTTAGATACCTGGGTGACATGGAAGTGGAGCTTGAAAACAGCTTTGACCCTGTGTCTCTCACTCCTCCATCTGAACATCTTCGCTCACAAGTCACTCACGCCACTCCACCAACTCAGCTCCACATGTCACTGATCCCAAAACCCACCAGGATTTTGGTCACCGGAAAGCCACGTCATCAACCGGAGCTACCGAAACCCGCCGGAAAAGGTTGCTCCGTAGCTCCGGTGGCCACGCGCTTCAATGCAGAAAAAAATAAATTTGTTGACTTTAGTCTTGGTGGTTCCGAACACAGTGGTGAAGTGAAGTGACGTTGAAAAGAAACCCCGTTAAGGAAGGGAAATGAGGGTAGCGACTTCTGAAAACTTGAAACCGAACAGAGTCAGTAGATCTCATCTCATAACGTATGAGATGTTCTTCTATTTGTCTTGTGTCTTTGTAACAGTTCTCAAGAAACCAGATGACACATGCGTCCTCTCCATTTAATATTCAATTAGAACCTTCTCTTTGGGATTTTTTTAATTAATGAATGTTTTAGTTCCAAGAAATAAATAAATATAAATATGGAATAAATAATTATTTTCATTCCTAAATTTAAAATTAGGCTATAAAACTTTTTGATAGTGCAAATTTAAAGTTAGGTTCTAAAATAGTAAAATGCATGATTAAAATTATAATATATATATATATATATATATATATAAATTAAAACCATAATAAATAATATTACATATAATCCTAATTATAAGTAATAACCATTAGTAAAAAAATGTGACAATGTTCATTTCTTTCCAGAAATAAATAGTAACATATTTGAATACAAATTATAAATAATGATGATGGTCTGTTTTCCTTATTGTTATAACAAATTACTTGCCCGGCGAATATAAAAATATTCCTCCGTTCCTGGGTGGTATTTTTATTAACATTGCTAACAAGAGAGAATGGTGGATGAAAGGGAATTTCGAACCAGACCAAAAGGAAAATGATAAGGTGAGTCGTTGGAACAGTCACAATAGCTTCAAATAAAGAATTCAGTTCTTACTGGGTTACATGTTCAAGTTTGCCTCTCTTGGGGTTAATGAACATTGTGTGTGTTTTTAGAAAACTTTACTCGGTGGATAAATAATTAAATATATATATTTTTTATTTAAAAATGCCACGCGGAAATTTTCAACATCTTTATGGAATTGTACAAGTGTCGGAATATGACTTTTCACAGGAAGATCAGCAACTGTCCTTTCAAAATAACAATGTTCCTTCTTGTGCTTCCGATTTTGGTGCTTGGGAGAGATGAGGAGCTTTGATGCTAATGCTCATACATGTGTTTCAGAAACTTCAACCAAATTCTTACTATATAATCGCAATTTGTAAAAGCATAGTACTTAATCATTATATTAATTCATCGTGTTAAATAAAGTTGATTATGAAAACCAGGAAGGAGCTTTATGAAAACGTCTCACATCTTAATTATTCATTGGAAATCCATATATGAAACTGTATAGTACTTCCATATCATCATGCCATTGATAACTAGTTTTTTACTGTTTTGTTGGATCCCTTTTATTGAGTCATTGTCATTATTATATAGGATGCTGAATTAAGAGGGACCCACTGAATTATGTAGTTTTGTTTATTTTCTTGGGTTCATCTTTTAATTTCGTGTAGAATTAGACAACTGGACCCCCAAAAATGATCATAATAAGCAACCGAGCTTTCACCATATCATTCTTTCCCGCTACTTTCACCTGTGTGACTTTTTCTGGATACATATAAATGATTCTCATCACTTATGAGACATTATTTATTAAAATAATAATAATAATAATAATAAAAACGACACAAAATTTTATAGGATATTAGAAATTTGTTTCCATCAAGGGTATTTGAGGCATAGGAATAAGAATAATGAATAGCTTTGGTAATGCATCTATGTATAATTTGCCTAACAACAATTCAGCTGCCGACAAATATTCATGAATGTTTGGGTTTAATTATCATGTCAACATATGGCTCAAAAAATAAAAGACCAATAGTCAATAATTTTTGTGTTTTATTTTAATATCATGAAAATGACATCTTAACTATAACAAATTCTAATATTGCCTACGAATCCTTGGCAAAATACGCATCCAATAATATAGTTTTCGAATCCTTGCTAATCACTCATTTTAAATTCATAATTTTGGTATGGGCACCTTTTATTTTCCACTAATAATTCATAGTATTCACTTTCCCGATTGCTCTCGTACCAAAATGTTATTTATTTACATATATCAATATTTCTGTATTCAAGCTTCACAAATATTAATTATATCTTTAGCTATGCATTTAAAATAAGACAGTTCTTTAATTTTTAAATTAAATTAAATTTTTATCTTTTTCTATTGTTAGCTTGCTAATCATACATTTAAAGTTTAAGGCCTGTTTAGGGTTGGTTTTCGGTTTTCGGTTTTAAATTTTAGTTTTTATTTTTTAAAAAAAATTTAGTTTATCTTTTTAATTAAAATGTTTTGCTACGTTAAAATTAATTTAAAGATGTATTTTTGTGACAATACTATATATTATGTATGCTAGTAAATATTATCAATGATAAATTGGCTTAATGATAATATTATTAGTTGCATACATTATTAGTAATGGCATTATCAATGATGATAATAATAATTATAATAATAAAAATCATGGTAAAAAGAATTATATTAAATGTAACAAAAATGTGTTTTTTTTATAAAAAAAAAATGAAAAACTAAATTCATAAAATAGGCACATTTTTTTTCATCGAAGGATACTACAAAGAAGTATATTAAATTAATATTTTAACAAAATATTTTAATATAAAAAATGTTACAAATTTTATCATAATAACACCCTCTTTAAATATTTGGACAATATTGATAAATATTACTGATACACTTTTACTTTACCTTTCAATGTTACATGATTTTTAATATAAATATCCAATTTATCAGTTACTTAAATAGATATTTTAAGATATTATAAGATCCTAAAAACTCTAGTAGCATTTATTTTAGGAGACACAGGAGTAGTTTAGAGAAATAAAAGTCCTATGGCTAGCTGTAGTTGTGGAGTACATTAATTTTATAGACATTTCAGAGTTAGGAGATCGAGGTGAGAAATGTTGAAGTGAGTGTAGTAGACCTAGTAATAAAAATTGGGCTATGCGTGCAGTCAATAATATTTTGATCATTAAACTAAACATTAATACAGAGCATTCGAAGATGGCAGATGACTTAATTAAATGATTTTATATCAACAAATCAGTGGCAGATCATAAATACATGAATATACTGTATTTAAGTATACATATATTCTTTGTGGAAGTATATAGTTTGTGCATAGTCTTGACTAAAAGTCATAACACAGGTAGACTTATAAGAAAAATAATTCTGAAGATTCCATCATGTAAAAATAATAATAATATTGTGCTTTGAATTTACTTGCCTTTAAAGCTGCCAGTCAGTACTAGTAGTCAATCACTCAAGTCCATTCATTCCATCTCAACCTCATATCTAGTTCATGGCGTGCATCTGCAGTCACTCTAACTTCACAAACTAACTATACATCATGTAATTCCAAATAATAAATTTTAAAAAATGTCATTTGTTAATTCAAGATTGTGAAGATATATTTATTATATTAAAATATAAAATCATGTAATTTGAAAAGTGATTGATTTATGTAATATTGGACCCAATTCTTTTGAATAATATTTAGAATTGAAGTCTTGTAAAAAAGTATTTTATAGTTACTTTTTTAAGTAGTTCAAAATAATAAATAAAATATTTGTATTTATTTTAATTAATAATTAAAAAATATATTCGTAATAAGTCAGAGTGAGGGAGCTATCAGAATTGTGGGGAAAGTGCACCTATCAAGTTTCAATACACACCACAACTGCCAAACCTAACCACAGTCCACAGGTCTTTCAAATGGGGTCCATGAGCCATCTCCATCTCCTATTCCTATCCTAATCTTCAGTTTTACTTTGACAATTGACATGTATACGTGTAACACTGTTACTCATAGAAACTATCAAATCAAATATTAATCAGAAGGCATTATATGATATTATATTAGGACCTCTAATGTTTGCCTCTTCCAGCAAAGGCAAACTAGGGCTTTCTATTTTCTAGGACAGCTTTTGTTTCTACACTAGCTCTGTCTTGGCTGCGTACCAGATGAAACTTGTGCCAATTAAGGTTGCACCAGTTTTCAGTCTGTATGGGGCAAAATTGGCATCAACTCATCTCAGCTACATTAAAGACAAAATAACTCCATTTCAATTAAATATTCCTCCTTTCATCGCCTCTACACACCTATTCCTAACTTTAAGTTCATGTTATAGGTTGGTTTCAATTAATGCATGTCGGTCTTTTTTAAGAATCATTGAGTTTAAGAAAAAAAAAATATATTGTAAAGAGATATATTTTTAGTTAAATAGGACTTTAATTGTAGAAGATATACGTGATTTGAAACAACAAAATATAAATAAATAAAAATATTTAAGGTATATACTTTGATAGTTTTGAAATAGTTATAATTTAAAAAATTTTAAATGTTAATTCTTTTATTATTCAAAAAATTATTTAAGTTTACATTTATTGATTAAAATATTTCACTTATTAAGGATTTTATAACATAAAACATTGGATAAAAGATTAAAATTTTAAATTAAATGTTTCATTCAATATTTTCTTTACTGAATGTTGCTAATGGGACATTTAATACTTGATTTTTTAGCAAGTGTCATGAGGACATTATAACATGATACGCAGTAGAACATTACTTAATAAATGACACAAAAAAGGGTAAAACATATTTCTGTTTTTGGAAAGAAATGGATCTTATTCTACTTGAGTGTAAACTCATTTTAGAAGAACAGAGAGATTTTAATTACTTAATAATTTAATCATGAAGAATTTAACGTATACTTTTCCGATATATGGGTATTAAAATAAGAATCTCTTTCAATGATTTTTATTTTTCTATACGTATACATGACTCTTTGGATCACATTGCTGATTACATGTTCAAGGGATCTTAATTAGTCCCTTTTCAAATTATTATGGGTTAAATTTTATAATTAGTTATTTTATTAATACTATATTGTACATGTTACTGATAAAGGTTATATTATGCATGTTACCGATAAAGGTTTTAGTTCAGTTGATAAGTAATGGAATCATATATCTTACAAAAATTTGTATTTGACTCTTGTTTTTAATTTTTTTTATTACAAAAATAGTTATTATGAGAATTAAATTTAGGTTCTCATACTTCTAATATAAAGATTTTATTTATTAATAATTTTTGAATATTTTTATGAATATTTTTTGAGTTTTGAGATATTCTCTGATAATCTATTAAACTCAACTCCACTAGATTTTAATTTGGTAAAAAGAAAATTATTGGTTTAGATTTTTCTTCTAATTTAAGTTTGACCTAAACAAA